CCCCTCTGAGGCAGCCTGTGGACTGTGAAGCTGTTATTTGAGGTTTCAGTTGTGGCAAAACTGAAAGCCTGAAGTGATCTTCTAAGTTGCTGGCTATGGGAATTTACCATAAGGGGATCGGCTCTACAGAAGGATTGTCTCCCTCACTGGGCCGTAACCGAGGAAGCTGAAAAGTGTGCAGTTGTCCTGGGTACTTGTGAGTAATGACCTCAAATAGATTCTTGATGACTGCGCTTTTGAGATATAAGTGCCAGAAGTAGCTTGGACTAAGACAGCTCTCCTAGGATGTTTCCATCCAGAAGATCTTCTTCATCTTCATCCACCTTTCTCAGCACCAAAGCAAAGAACACAGCAAATCCCACCACCTGTCAATGACACATAAATTCCTTTTCACTGAGAAAACACCATTAGTAGCCAACGTAAAACAAGTTGTGTATGGGGAATTCTTCCTGGAAAGCTGGTGTGGAAAAGGACTTGAAGGCCATCAGGACTTGAAGGCCTGTCCTCAGCAGAATCCTGGAATGTGAGCGTAGAGAAGAGTGTCTTCCTGTTACTATGCGGCATTTTGGAGTATCCCATGCCCTAACCCCTCTTCTGTTTAAAGTTCTTCAAGCAATAAATATCAAAAAGACATTCCCTAGACTAAGTTGGAGCCAGTGTGTATGGACTGGTGCTTGTGGTGGTGGACAGCCTCTGTACTATTTGGGAAGAACCAGCTATTACCAGAAGCCCTTACGAAGGTAGCGCTACACTCATGTTGGGCTGACACAGTGATCAACAGCTTTGAGCTTGGAATGTACAATAATCTTTCAAAAATGTTTTGCTGTCTGTGTAACCATTGTGGTTCCCCCTGAACTTCCTCTCCTGTGCAGCCATGTGGAAAGTAAGTGTAAATCCCACCAAACAAGTCCCCCCTCACATTCTTTCTTGGTGATATTGGCCCCATGGCAAATAGTGAGATTAGCTCTCCCAAAATGGAGGCACTAAGGGGTTGACTTACTGAAGGCAAAGAGACTGTGCGCTTTGCAAAGTGCAGATGCTCCAAGCTTAGTAAATGAAGTAAAGCTTAACTTTGCAAAGAATATCCAATCACATGCAAGGAAAATTAAAAAACAGCTCTTGAGCAACTGAACTTGCTAGGTGCACAGTCTAGTTTCCTTTAGTAAATCAACCCCAGAGAGCAATAAAATCTGAGGTTTGAACCCTTCCCCACTCTATTAAAAAAATTTGTCTGGAGTATTAAAAGAAAACTGAAGGAATTTGTTAACTGAATTGCTAGATGGGTAATCCAGAAGACCAACCTGGTAATCCCAAATCTCCATCCAGAAGATCTTCTTCATCTTCATCCACCTTTCTCAGCACCAAAGCAAAGAACACAGCAAATCCCACCACCTGTCAATGACACATAAATTCCCTTTTCACTGAGAAAACACCATTAGTAGCCAACGTAAAACAAGTTGTGTATGGGGAATTCTTCCTGGAAAGCTGGTGTGGAAAAGGACTTGAAGGCCATCACTTACCTTGAGGGGCTGCAGAATGAAGATGCTCTGGAAGAGTGAAAGAGTCATGGAGACAATCCATCGGATAGAGCTTTGCTTCCCGTACAGGAATCCGTACATCATGGTGAAATAGGTGGACACAATGCTAATCGATATCAGAATGAACCACCCAATGTAAAGGAACCACCAAGGGAGACGTTTCTTTTTTATTGCCTTCTTTTGAGGGGACCTGTAATAATAGTTTTACAAGTATAAACTGTATAGGATATAGTACAAGAACAGCTCAGTTTGCATCATCAGTGCAGTCCCTGTAAACTGGGATGACTGACTCCTGTGCAAGCATGGGAATTACATCATCCCGGGCTGGCCAATGAAGAAGTTCAAAGAAAGATGAAGCCCAAAACCTCCTGGATTCCCTGCATGCTTTTGCAGCGTCTTCTCTGCTGTTTACTTTCAATGTCTAAGGACTACATATCCCATGGTACCTTGCTGCCTAGAAGCAGAGATTCCTGTACTGACTCCACCTATGTTCTATCTCAGTTGTAATGTATGGATTAATTCAGCAAACTCAGTTCTTATTTGAGGAAGTTGCCTGTTCTTGTTACTTGAACGGAAAGCAAACATGTAAAGTATATTCATAGTGTATCCAGAGAACAGAGGAACAGTGGATTGCACAAGTTAACCCTTGGTGGTGTACAAGGAGAATCAGAGGAAGGAGAAGCAGCCAGTTGACAGACGTGGAAGTGGTTGCTGACAGAGGTTCTGGAAGTAAAGAGTAACTTAATACTTTGCAGCACCATCAACAAACTAGGCACTTGCCTAGGGCAGCATTTTTCAGGAGGCTGCACTTCCCCCCAGAAGAAGGGATGGAAGAAGGAACACACTCGCCATGGGAACCAGGTGGGATCCGAGAGAGGCTGTGGGCTGCTTGAAGGTGTATGTAGAGCCTGACTCTTGTTCCCGGGATGTCCGGAGCTGTGAAGATAAGTGTCTTTCTCTCTATCACCGGGGATGGGGGGAAGTTAGTGGAAGGCTCTACCAGGTGGGGGGCAAGAGTGCTGTTGGTCAATGTCAGGCTCTCTCCAGGGAGGGGGAAAGGGGGGTGGTGTTGGCCCGTGTCCTTGGGGGAAGACAATCTTCATGTTGCCTAGGGCACAAAACCTAAATACACCACTGGCCATCCTAATTAGGTTGATAGTGAGGATTAAGGTAAATTTAATTTTTTGGCTCCTTTGTAGCGAGTGGAGCAGAGCTTGATGACTTTTAGCTGTTCTGGGTCCTGCTGGTTGCAGAAAGTTGCTGAAGTCTGCATAAGTTTCAACAAGGTCCCAGCTCAGGGTGAGCTGGGGGCCTATCCCTAAAGTTGCTGAAGTCAGCTTGGAGGGAGACCACTGAGGACCTGGCCTGGAGGCTCACAGTACAGGGGTCTATCTGGTATTGGAAGGAGGCATCCAAGTACACAGACACAGGAACAAAGTGAGTAAAGGCCCGAGAGAGAGATCCTAAGGACTGTTGCTATTAACTGTTTGAGTGACTGTTCCAGAGTTGCTGGCTTAGGTCTGCTCCTAAAATTTGCTTGTCCAAAGGGGCTTATCCTGAAGAGTCTAGCTGTAATCAGAATGTATCCTCTTTTACTTGTTGCACTAAATTTGAAGTATTCCAAGGCCCACCCTACACCCCAACCAAGTTCAACTAGACTAAACTGCTGTGTGACTGGCTGTTGTGCACCCAACAGGGAATAGAACCTGGGACAAAACTGCAAGTTTGCTTTGGGGTCTGTCATACAACTTCATGCAGCTCACTAAGCGGCAGGATTTCCATGTTGGAGTCCACTGTGGTACAGACCCCTCCTAGGGACCAAGCCAATAATTAATGCAAGCCTTGCGATGTGAAGTATGGTGACTTCCCTCTTTGCAGCGAGATACAGTTAAAGATACAGCATGATGAGACAAGATAAGCTGGTGGAGTTAAGTAATTGCTTCGTCCTACTTTCTCAAAATGATCTTGAAGTCATGTGTTGGGGCAGGTTGGAATTGGCTGAGGAGAGACATGGTCCTTTTGATGCATGTGGGACCCTAAAGTGTAATGTAACCTCTGGGCTGACAGTGTCAGAGTCAAGCTTTGGTTTTCTAGTGCCGGTGAGAAATTAAGTAAAATCCTCTGATAGTTGTTAACCTTAGCAAATATTTGACTTTTCCTCCATTGTAGAGGTCTGGCACTCCAGGGATTCCCAACAAGCGACTCACCTTTGAATGGGCACTGGTGGTATAGATTTTTCCAGGACGTTCATTAGCATCTGTAGCTGTGTAGAGAACTCTTCGTATTGCTGCTTGTCTAGGACTTGCTGGTTCCCCAGCTGCTTAAGATCTGTAGACACTTTTCTGAGCTTCTGAGAGACATAATTTCCACAGAACAAGGCATGCAAATCCTCACCACAGAGCTGAGCCAACGGTACGGAGACTGTCAGGGCTAAACAACAAAAAATCAATGTCAACGAAACTTCCGAAATATGTCCTAGGCACCTTAATGGGAAACTATCTCTTAGATTGTAAGCTCCAAGGAGCAGGGCCCTCCTAACCCTCTTGTATTGAACTGTATTGTTGCTGTATTGTCTCCCGTTATATTGTACAGTGCTGAGCAAACTGTTGGCGCCATAAATCCTGTATAATAATAATAATAACTATCCTATAAGTCAGAAGCAGTATGCATTTCAAGCGAATGGTTTCACTTTTTTATTTGAAAATATTTTTTTCATGTATCTTTCAGCTCAATGGCTGAACGAAAAAAAAAAAACTGAGCCGATGCCCCCAGCCACATATTCGAGGTTCCAGCTGAACCGACCGAATTTCAATGCATGTATGGCAAGCTTAAGACAGGACTTTTTTTGGAGTAGCACTGCTACTGATATGCAAATTTTGTCTTTTTGTCATAAGTGAAGAGCTAGGCCCTTATCTCCATCTCTAACAGTTCCTTTATATGAAGATGGTGGCACCCAGTCAAGATTTAGCTCGGTCTTTGGGGGTGGTCTGCAGCAGAATTATCATTTAATGATCATGGCTGGAAAAGGTGATCGGGTCGGGTAAAGGTTGTTTAAACATCATGTTAGGCAGATAGACTGATACAAAAACCATTAACATTAAAGGAGTTGCCCAGAGCCAGTTAATCAGATGTTTTCTTTAAGGCCTTGTTCACATGTACGTACTACAGCCCATGTGAATGAGGCCTAATGGAAAAAGCAAGCATGGGAGAATAAAGTGAAGACCCGTGTTCTACGGAAAGCAAGTGCAATTCTTTATCTAGGCACATTTATAAACTATGGCTTCTCATACTTTGTGGCTTAAACCAGGCATACATGTATTATTATTATTATTATATAGGATTTATATAGCACCAAGAGTTTGTGCAGCTCTTTACAAAATGAAGGTAGACATTACAATTACAATACAATTTGGTACAAGAGGAAACATAGGGCCCTAATCCTGGGAGCTTACAATCTAGGAGGAAGGGTGGAGTGATACAAAAGGTAATAGCTGTGAGGGGGATGAGCTGATGGAGGAAATAAATGGTGGTTTACTAGGTAGAAGCAGACTTCTTTAAAGAGAAAGGGTTTTCAGGGATCGTCCAAAGGTGGATAGATTAGGAGACAGCCGGACAGGTTGGGGTAGGGAGTTCCATAGGACAGGAGACGTCCTGGAGGAGGTGACACGGGAACAAGAGAACAGAAGGTCTTGGGATGATGGAAGAGAGCGGTTTGGTTGATATTTTGAGACTAGGTTGGTGATGTAGCTGGGGGCAGAGTTGTGGATGGCTTTGTAAGTTGTTGTTAGTATTTTGAATTTTATTCGTTGGGCGAGTGGAAGCCAGTGGAGGGATTGGCAGAGAGGGGTGGAGGACACTGAATGGAGGCCAGTGGAGGGATTGGCAGAGAGGGGTGGAGGACACTGAATGGAGGCCAGTGGAGGGATTGGCAGAGAGGGGTGGAGGACACTGAATGGAGGCCAGTGGAGGGATTGGCAGAGAGGGGTGGAGGACACTGAATGGAGGCCAGTGACGGGATTGCAGAGAGGGGTGGAGGACACTGAATGGAGGCCAGTGGAGGGATTGGCAGAGAGGGGTGGAGGACACTGAGTGGAGGGATTGGCAGAGAGGGGTGGCAGACACTGAATGGTTGGTAAGGTGGATGAGCCTGGCAGTAGTGTTCATGATGGACTGGAGGAGAGATAGCCTATGTAAAGGCAAGTAGGGCCAGAATTAAACCTTGGGGGGACCGAGGAACCTAAGGCTTGGGGGGTCCTTCATACACAGAGTTGGTTTACATTCTCAATGACAGCCACACATTTTCAAAATGCATTACACAATGTCATTCTGAGGTCAAGCGTACACACACACACGCAGTCAAAGGCCACCTTACTTAGGAATCTGTGGTTCACTTGAGCTGGAAAAATATTTTTTTTTTAAAAGATACGATATATCAGTACAGAGTAAAAATGTTTACAGACGATGGCCGACAAAATATTACTTCCCAAGATACAATTAATAAAACAAAGTATTTTTTTTAAAGTTTATATATTTTATATCATGGTATTATTATTTTTTTTTATATTGTGTTATATTATTTTTTTTAGGGTGGGGCCCTATCCGTCAGGGGCACCCATGGCAGTTGGCCCTTTTGCCCCCTGCATACATGGATCGAAATTTGGCCGGTTCAGCAGGGATCCATGTATGGGCTCATTGGTTGTACAGAAGTCAATCTATTGACCCTGTATTTTGTAAAGCGCTGCACAAACTGTTAGCACTATATAAATTCTGTATAATAATATAAAAAATAATACTAATAATATAATAATAATAATAACAATAATAATATAATAATAATAATAATAAATTGATCAACTTATGTACAACCAGTCTGTCAGGTTTTTCCTGAGCGATCAGTGCCGCCGGCTATAGCTGGCAACACTGATCATTGTATTCTGCCGGTGGGGAAGGCTCTCCTCCGGCAGAATACAAGAGTTGAGTGGGAGTCATTGCCCCATCCCCATTGAATGTGTGGATGGGGGAATCGGATTGTTTTTTTTTTCGTTCAACCCACCACTGGTTGAATGAACTAAAATGAATCATGGCCAAACTTAGACTTGCTTCCAGAAGGTATTTGCTTTTGCAGCAGCTGTGAGATGATCTGCAGAAGAACAGTAAAATCTGGACTTGGCTCTTGGTTGAGGTCCACTTCCATATTATTCCAAGAGGTTTGGCTCAGAGTTCTTGCCACCGTTGCCAAGTCCTTAAAAAAAAAATAGTATGAGGAAGGAATATTTATTCCTGAGGGCAGAAAACTAGCACTGGAAGTCAAAGACCACTGAGCCTCATCTGTAACCTCACCTCCAGTATGGTGGCCAGACTCTGTTGGCTGGATGGGCTTTTTTTGGCGTTGGCATTTTTATTGCCTTTCTTATCTTTGGGTTTACTATTCTTGACCTGAGTGTTTCTGAAGATGTAGATGATGAGCAGGTTGACGGGAAACATGAGCAGTGCACTTTCAATCGCTATCATGATGTCTTTCCAGGATATGTTGATGTCACCTGCAATAAAGGAAAGAGACAGTTTAATGCATATCTAAACACAATAACAAAAATCTAAAGTGACACTAAACGGTATCTTTATTCAAAAAAAAAAAAAAATCCATCCACATCCACTGCTTAATGGCCCCTTAATCTATTTTTCATTGATTAACCTGTCCTTTTTCCTCTCACTTTCATTTGTTTTGGAACAAGGAGTGCACGTTAGTTGCAGTCATGTACACTACAAATCCCATAGTCGATAGTCCTTAGCAGGGGCGGACTGACAACTCATGGGGCCCCCGGGCAATAGGGGATCATGGGGCCCCTGTGTCCTTGCCCAAACTCAAAAAAGCCTATGAAAAAGGTACCAGGGGCATCTCATGGGGCCCCCTACTGACCCGAGTTTCCAAATGGTCAGTCCGCCCCTGGTCCTTAGTCCAACTTGGGATCTCCAGTAGTTTAAGTGGTTTACCAGAGAGGGTAAACCACCAAAACCAATAGAGACTGCTTTTATGTACCGCCATCTTGTTTGTAGTGTCAGCAGCCCCCGCAGCTTAAGTGACAGTATTCCCATTTGCTTCTCCCCTGGCAGCTACATAAAAGGTTATCTAGGGAGATGGGTGGAGGAGCAGATGAGCTGGGTCAGCACAGGCAGTAATTAGAAACTCAGGCAATGTTAGGGAATTGACTCTTTTTAGAGTAGTCTAGCAAGTTCAAAGGCATGTTGCAAGTGACTAAAATTAATTTACAGAACGTAAACTTTGCAATAAACACTGCAAGTAGGAATTTAAAATACCTGCACATGTTTGTAGGTATAATGGTCTCTTCAAGGAAACCTTCACATATATATCCCACATGGAAGAAAAATATACTTGAAATACATTTAAAAAATATTTTTCCCAAATATATTGACATATATTTGAAATGCTACAATTTTGGCCATATTCAATATATATATATATATATACACACTGTATGTTGAAATGTGTTTTTATTACAAAATACATGAAAAATATTTTTAAAAATACATTTTCAAATATACCGTATGTCTTTAAAAATACAAATCTACATTTTTGGCATTTACAAATATATGATTTTTTTATATGTGAAAAAAAATCTGAAGAATATATTTTTTAAAAATATATTTTTAAAAATGTATATATATGTTTAAATATATTCTTTAGATTTTTTTTTTTTTATATATAAAAAAGTCATTTTAACATATATTTTTACATAAATTTGTAAATGCATTCCAAAAATGTAGATTTGTATTTTTAAAGACATACAGTATATTTGAAATGTATTTTTAATAATATTTTTCATATATTTTGAAATAATAACGCATTTCAGCATACAGTATATATATACCTATTGAAATATATTTTGAAATATATTGAATATGGCCAAAATTGTAGTATTTCAAATATTTGTCAATATATTTGGGAAGGATATTTTTTATATATATTTCAAATATATTTTTCTTCCATATGGGATTGGCCAGTATTGATGTTTGAGAATTCAGATATCAGGCACTCACCCATGCTGAAGATTATGGGGTAGTTGGATTGAGGCATTTCCCAGAACATCAGATTGATGACAATGGTACAGAGGAGAAGACACATACAGCAGGACATTTTCTGAACACGGGTGAATACACTGCGCGCGGGGTGATTTAAGACCGATATCCAGATGTTGTCATCTCGCAAGCCACGTAACGTTTTCTTCATGAAGATATTCCTTGCGGGCAGAACATACACAAGAGGTGTGAAAACCTCAAACCAAGGCATATTTCATTTTTAAAACAAAGAATAATGTCCACCAACAGGAAACTTGTGAAAAATGTGTACAGCCTCACTATGTTATCTTTACCCTTGTTATATAAATAATACACCAAACACCGTTCCTGAAGACACCTATTGGTCGGGCGAAACGCATTGAGCACATTTGCGTACCTAAAGCTTCTTAATTCTTCATCATTAGCAGCTGTGAAGGTCTTGCTCGAAGTGTCTCCTTTGGCTGGTTCAACTAGCCATGCATTGCACAGAAAGTGCCAAGATTTCCTCAGTTGGACATCCTGAACTGTCACTTGGGTTATATACCTGTGGTAGGAAAGAAGAGGCCCAGGTAAAGTCTAATGAACATGGCATAGAACTTTCAGTCATTACTGCCAGACTTTCATCTCACCATCTTTTGTGAGGACCTGACCCATCATGGCTGAGTGTGATGCTCTTAAGCTCACCCAGAGGATACGGCAAAAAAAGTAGGAAGATGTCTTTATTGCCTTTTTTGAACACTTTAGATTTGGTGTCTGATAGGATAATAGGGCCGAAGTGACCGTGTAATCCACCGATAGACAGGTACACCTAGAGACAAACAAGACATCAAGGGCCAGTGATGTTCTGTAGACCAATGTTCCCAATGGCATTCGGTTTATGGTTAACATTCTACGAAAAAGAAAATTAAGTATCTTAATAATTCCGTTTTTCTCACCTTGGCACTGGTACTTGCCCCACGCCGATGCCCGGTATACACGGTTATCAGATAGCGGTATAATCCACAAGGATCATTATCTCGAGATACCATTACTCGCTTCTAGAAGTAGAAATAATAGTTATGTCATGTTTAGAATAAAGACAAGCAAAGATAAAAAGTAAACTTACAGTGTATCTGTAGCCAAACTTTTTTTTGTAATTTTGGAAAAGGTAGAGAACACTTAGAAACCCTGCTGGGTTTTATTTCAAAGTCAGAGTATAGCCAGCACTCCAATATGTAGAAAAGTCATCTTTTTCTGCTACTGGACCTTGGCTTGCGCAACTCCTGGTGGGGTGATCCTCAGGACTACGACATGGTACTAACACACAGCAAAACCCATCTCCACCATCAGGAGCCCTGTGAATACCAATTAAAGATTAGACCCCACACCCCAGTTGAGCATGTGTCATCCACCAGGGTGACCCGCTGGTGTACTTTTCCTGCTGGTCTCTCTACTCCTATAGCTACTGGTCTCCGAGCCTGACCCCTGACTGTGACACCAATGTTTTGGTGGCACACAGGCCTTCATTATCGAAGTAACAAGACATAGCACCTTGGTAAAGAAGGCCTGCAAACTTCCACAAATATGGTTTCTTTGGGGTTACTGTAAACTTTCTGCTACTTTACTTTTCTGCATATTGAAGTGCTGGCTAATCACCGAATTTAGAATTAAACGGTGCCACTATGGGCTGCAGCCCCCCCCCCCCCCCTACATTTGATAGGAAGTGAGGTTTTCCTGTCTTTCCTCTCCTGTCTGTTTTTTGTATTTTTTGTATTTTTCCTGGTGACTATTATCTTATAATGTAAGTATTGGGAAATCCCACATTGCACATTGTTGTGTGTGGTAGCGCTGGATTGATAGAAGTGAAAATTGGTTCTGATGGGTCTACCATAAAGTGATTTTTCCTTCAAAGAAGCAGATCTGTGGTTGGAATATAATATAGGTGGACCCTGTTCTGGTCCTAGGTTTCTACCTCTCTGATAGCAACAAAGGAAGGACCTTCCAGATGGTAAATTGTTGGATGTGTACTGTGGAGCTCCTTGTACAAAAGTTCATCTTACTTCAAAGACCTTTTGGAACATTGAATGATTTAAAGCAGTGGTCTTAAAACTATGGCCCGAGGGCTGCATGTGGCCCTTTACCTGCTGTTTTCTTGTCTTTGGGGCACTGTTAGTCCAACCGACACACTATTCCTCCACTCCCACTGACAACAACGGGGAAAAGTTCCTGTCACTGAAACCA